ATGGAAGAAATAGATTTGGTCATTCATACTTGAAGTAAAAGGAAATTTGGCAATTCCTGTAGGAGATATTCCTATACCTATCTAGCTGGCTACACAATTAAAAATCCCGTAGAGTGACAGTTTTTACCACTCTGCCTCGTTCCCGAGCCTTAGTCGGTGCTCTCGGGTTCCGCTTAGTGGCAGATTACTAAATTCACAGGTAGGATTGATCCAGAAATAAAGCAGCCCGCATGCTTGTCACTCCCAGATTTTCTTTCCACACTTCACTGAAAGCATTTCCAGCTGATATTTCTCAAGAACTGAGTTCCTGGTGTGATTCTATTGGCTACAGAATTGCCTGTAGAAAACAGTGAGTGATCTGTGTTTAAGCGGAAGCCAAATGTTAACAAAGAACAAAGGAGCAAACAAACAACAACAACAAAAAGTAGGATCTAGGACCCACTATATACTCACATCGTTTTAATTAGTTGATACTTTGGTTTGAATTTCTTTTTTTTTTTATTTTGTAGTTAATAGATTTTCTTATCCTTTGCTATCGCTTATACTTAGCAGAATTGTAGTAGCGAAACCCATCCAAGTAGTGGAAGACGCATGAAGTAAAGAACAGTATGTACGGTTATAAGCAGATAAAAGTGGATGCCCTTCCAGTAAATGGATAATGTGGTTCTATAACACCATGGTCATGTTGCCTGTTTTAGGGTCTCCAGTGTCCACTCTTGGCTGCATGGCCCGCCCTGCTCCCCCATTCCCGTGGATGCACACACCTTCAGGCCCTTCCGAATTAGACCTCCCCATCGCTTTTTCACTCTCTGTGGTTGGATCTTATTTTCTGTGCAATCCCATACCCCAAGAACATTGCTGGCCAGTAGGAAATCATCATTAAATTACTGTCAGATCGCCTAGCAGGTAATGGATTTGGATATACTTTCAAAATGGAAAGGACCTCACTGTCCACTGTCACAGGGATTTAATGGGTGACATACATTTTAGCCACTGGACAGAAGCATGAAGATAATTACAAAGCATTGTATGATAGATAAAGAGAAACACTTCCTACATAGTGTATCGAACACAAAATGTGGCTACATCAAGGATAAAGAAACTCACAAAAGACATAGCACAATATTGTCATAAAGTAATAGACTCTTACATTTGAAAGAGATTTCCAAGTATATTGAGCTCAAATTCTACCTAACACAGATTCCCCCCTGCCCATGATATTTTTACATACTGTCAACATTCTGGTTAAATACTCTTAAGTGAAATTGTGTGAATATTCTGTATTTGTGAATGGCTTGTAATTGGTTTAAGACTTTGAATGTTTTAAAAACATTTTAACGCATGGGCAGGAAATTCATATAAGTGAAGGTCAGATTGGTATGTGTTAGCTTCAAATCAGGAAGTCACATGGTCTACATGTATTCAAATGAGGACGCAGAAGCAGCAGGTGATGCTATGGATTCTTCCTGTCAGGCCCTGAGCCAAAATGAAGTGCTTTGGAAGGACATCCTCTGTGTCCTTTTCGTGTTGAAGGCCAGATCCTCAAAAGAACTGAAATGACCACATGTCAGGGAAGAGGCGCCATTGGGAATTGTTGCTTCCACATGTGGCTGTCATCTTGTCCCTTCAATATTGAAAGTATACAGATACCTTCCTGACCATTAAGAGTAGCTCTGTCCCAGGTTTCCAGAAGATAGCGCAGACTCAAACTATGTGCTGTTACAAAAACCCCATTACGAAAGAGAAAATGTTTATTAAGGTCTCAGAGTGAGTCTGGCCAGGGACGTTTGTCCGAGTCAAGGGTGAGACCAAGCAGATCCTATAAATGGTGGAGGCTTTCCCATCGCTACGCACCCCCCTTTCGCATCCCAGTTGCCCTGTGCCCCAAGTCCCTTCTCATGGAGTGGTGGCAGGCTTCAGAAATAACCCCCAAAGCGCTGGCATTTTTCTAGAACAGCAACCGGGAGTTAGGTGGCCCACTCCCTCTTTGAAAATTGGATTGTGTTGTTGTACATGTTTCTAGAAAGTACATGTTTTAATGGTCACCTCAAAAGTGGCTGGGCTCTCTGTGGGACCTCTGTGCCAAGCCTGTGTCCTGCCCCTGGTCTGGCTCTTTTACTAGTCGTTGTCACCCGGATTGGAAAATGGCCCCATCTCCCGCCTAACAGGGCACACTTTGCATGTGACGGCCTCTCGAGTGGCAGAAGGCTTGTGGAGCCAAGGTCAGTGTTCTGTGATAACATTCCCAGCTTCAGGGGCTCATTCTTCAACCCGTGGAGCACATCCTTCCTCCTCTGAGTTCTCTGCATGCATCAGGTCTCGGTTTGGGGGAGGTGATCGGGCCTCTTGCCAGGATCGACTTAATCGATCTGGCCGAATGGGAAAAACCTGTCGAGGCGACAAAGAATCAACCAAATCTAGCATGACTTTTTTGGCCCGACTTCTTATAAACGTTGTTCGAGCAGGGATACCCGGCCATCGATCGGGTCTGTTCCCTCTCCGTGCTGCAAAGTCACCTTGCCGATAATACACTTAGTGCAAAACCCAGGAGGACACAGCGCCGGTAAACGCTGTCAGAAGCAGAAACAGAGATTATTATTTTAAATTCTTCAGAATGATGAAGTTAGCACCAATTGTTGCATGGCAACGATTTGACAACTTTCTCCACCTTGGAGGTGGTCTGCTTTGTGTAAAGCTTTGACAGCTGTGTGCTCTATTTGGGAAATAAATGAACAGGGGGAGTCCACATCAAAACACTCTGCATGGGGGCGCCTGGGTGGCTCGGTCAGTTAAGCGTGCAACTCTCGATGTCAGGTAAGGTCACGGTCTCATGTTCGTGGGATCGAGCCCCGAGTCAGGATCCAAGCTGAGCACAGAGCCTGCTTAGAGTTTCAGTCC